AATCTTGCTTAATACTGGATCCTGTAAGGTTTCAAATGCAAGATGACCTAAGGGTAATGCATCTGTTTCAATCCAGTGCAATATTTTATCTTCTGAATTGTTTGATCTTTCTAATGGTTTATTGTTGAACTTCAGTTTTGACAGACCATCTTGATGTTGAAGAGCATTTCCTTTCCCAAATTCAAAGCCAAAATCAAAGGCCATGAGCTTTATGGTACATCTTAAAATTCTAGAAGATGTAACTTTAGGTAACTCCTTCCTGGGGTTAAAAATAAATTCTAAAGGTTTATGGTCAGATTTAAGCAGAAACTTCCTGCCTAATAAAAATTGGTAAGCTCTACTTGTGTTCCACATGATAACATGACTCTTTTTTAATATTTGAATAGTTACCTTCAAGAAAAGTACATCATAAACCTTCTTGAGACAAAATTGCTGATATGGCAGGCTCACTTACATCCATAGTTAAAGTTACTTCCTTTTTATGGTCAAAAATTTTTACAATGGGTTTTTTATAAGTTCTTTCTTTAAATTCATTGTTCTTTTTTTTTTCCTAACTACACAAATGGTACTATCAATTTACTGTACTTTGGCAAATATCCAATTCATTTTTATTTGTATATGTAGATACCTCAGCTATTTTCAAATTTGCGTCTGGTGAAATTCCATCATTCGAAATTTGGTATCCTAGATATGTTACTGTATTACAAATTAACACATTTATCCATGTTTAAGGTCATCCCAGTATTTTTTAATTTGTAGAAAGCATAATCCATTTTTTGTTTTAGCTCTTCTTTACTGGTAGCACCAATGCATATACTATCTTGATAGATGATCATATTCTTAACATTACCAGTTAGTACATTTTCAATGGCTCTTTGAAAAATAGATTCAAGAGTTAATCTTAGTGACCTCTTTAAATTTTTCATCAATTTGTATCTGGTTATAGGCAGATTTTAGGTCAATTTTTATCAAGGTCTTTAATTCCTCACAACTTGTGAATAGTAGTTTTAATGTTAGGTAACGGAAACATATCGGAGGATATTTTGTGGTTTACTCCTATTTTGTAATCTCCACATATCCTTAAATCTCTATCCAGTTCTCATAAAGCAACAGTGGGAATTACTACCACCAGGGGGAATATGCGCTAAAATTCCTTGATCCAGCATTGTTTTTAGTTTAGCTTTTTTTACTGAAAGTAGCATGTGAATGGGCAGTCTTCAAGACACAAAGTAAGAGAGGTGACTATTATCTTTTAATTGAATCCCCATTTTGTATCCTTTTAACATCTCCATGTCATTACTTTCCAACTTTCCAACTGTTAATTAATTTGCTTGTATTCACTTTCAAGACAAGTCCCTGACTTTTTTCCCATTTCACTACTGTGATGAGAATAATTTTGAAGTGTGTGTCAGTCTCAAAAGTTGCTTCAGTACAATGTAATGTTTTGATGAAAGAGCCATTGAACTGTCTTAGTTTAAGCCAACTTTTCTTTAATTTTGGTTTGCCCATTCATTCCCAGAAATTTATTTGGTTTAGGGTGGCATCACTCTCAGTATCTACCCCTGCATAGGGTAAGTTATACCATTCAATTTAATTTTTTCTCTGGTATGTTTCTCTTTATGTCTTTGTATTGCAAATACAGCTGTATCTTCTATTCATAAATATTCTACCTTTCTATTTTCTTTTTATGTTTGTACACAGACTGGAAATGGTTTTTCTTTTAACAGTTCCAACATATTTGTCCTGTTCATGCTTTTAATCACAGTATTTGCATCGCTCAAGGTAATTCGATATGCTGTATGCCTGTCATTACTCTTGGATGTCTGGAATTTTTCACTTAACTCTCATTGTTACAGAAACTCTATAGATGCATCCAAAGACATTTTAGTCAATTGTAACCATTCTAAAATTTTGTGTTTGTACAAAGCATCACAAATACCTTTAATTAATCTCAACTGCATCAACCCATCTTTCTGTGGTCATTTCTCCAGTGCCAAGTTGTTCAAACTCCCAGAATCTGGAAGCCTCTTGTACATTTGTGTACATATTGTATTATTGTTTCATTCAGCTCTTGTTTGCTTGTGAGAAACTTTTCCCTCAACAATAACCAACTTCTTTTTTGGATGCAAATTTATAATGTCCAAAATTTCTGAAATGGTCAAAACCTCTAATTCTTTGAGATATGACATGACATAGACCTTTCTGATGACCTCACATCCTGCTGAAGCCAAAAACAGATCTGTGATCTCATTCTCTCCTCCTGTGATCTTTTAACTTCTTGGTCAGTGTATGGGCAGCAAAACAATGAATATATGCTTCAACAAAGTCGGGTTCATCTAACGGTGTTAGAGATCCTATTGAAAATGCCATGTTTTGGTGATGTTTTCTAGTCTGTGACATAGAAGTTCTACCTCTACAGCAAGTGGCTACTGACTTATTAGTAGTAGCTTGACTCTATACAAAATAAGATAAGTCCATTTTTGCCTATGTCACTACAAATTACACTGTTCTGAAACTGTTGATGGGGTTGCTAGCATGTTGATGATGCTGTTACCACTGTTTTTAAGTCACAAAACTAGCTCTATCAAATCTAGCTTTTTATTTTATCATTTTTTTCTGTTTACTTCCTTAAATAAATATGTGATACATTTAATTATTATATTATTATATTATATATTTAATTAAAATACCAATGAAATAAGAAGCAGGCTTATTAAACAAGATGTTAACCTGAATGTGAAATGTTACAAGGCTCTCTTAACTACATTTCACTGGTTCTAACCTTCATGGCTAAGACCTGCCATGCCACACATTGTAGTAAAAGACCCTCATTCCTTTTGTATTCTATAGGCAAGATCTAATTTCTACAAGCAGATTCTTCACATGAACTGTTGCTCTCTGGAAATGACTGACAAGATGATGCTTCCCCTATCAATACAATCTTAACCTTAATCCTCTCCACATGTCCGCATAAACTATGTTTACTCTACCTAAAGTTTCTTGTACAGGGTTAATATTGTAAAAAAAAACAAAAAAACAGTAAGAGTAAAATAAATAAAAAGACATTCTCCTCAAAAATATAAAAGAAAAATAAATTATTTTATTTTTTTATAATTTGATCAAATAAAACAAAATTGATTAAAATTTATTTATTTGATCTTTGTAACAGTTTAAGATTTCATATAAACTGATTTTTTTTATGGCTTATTAACTTTTTGCAGGTTATTTAAAGCCAGAAAACATCTAGATTGTAAGAATTTTTAAAAAATAATAATAATTTATTGATACAATTCATACAAATTGTTATATCAGGATAAAGTGTCACCAGTAAACAAACACAGGCGATCTTGTTACTGAACTAAGTAGATCATGTGACCATAGAGGAAACGTATATTTTGAGGTCATGTGACGTCTGGGGTATTCACATTTTCCTCTCTATCCCCTATATTATTCAGATGGCTATTCTCTTTTCACTATGTGAAGTAATATTACTACAGGTATTATTCTAAGATGTCTGAGTATTATTCATTGGTGTATTATAATTAGTATCTGCAATTACAAAGTGTCCTACTACATTAACATTGATGAATTATCAAACAAGTATACATCCACATCATAAGAGTGGTAGCAAAGGGTCATTTTGACAACATGAAAAAAACTATTGCCCTCTCAAGGACTTGGCTCTTTCAATGTTCAGTTAAAACCTATTTTGATGTACACTTTCAAGCAAGAGGAAGAAAAATGTCAGCAGAGAACATTAACCCAAGAAGGTACAATGAGTCATTCTCCTGGAGGTTAGCATCAGCCATGCCGATGGAAAGCAGAAAGGAGTCTAACAAGTGACTAAAACAGAGCAGTTTTCTTAAGCCATTAAAATTAACAAATCATTTCTTACCCCAGTTAGCAGGAGATTGTAGGTTATTATTGAGATCAGCTGCCAATTTGAACTTATTAAACTGATCAAACTGACTATTATTAAATCAGGCAGGTAATTTGATATTGAATTAGATATGAGGTAACTAGTTAGGATCAAATTCACTGCTTGGTAGTAATGGTCAGCTAAAGTAACATTGTAAACTATTATCCCACAGTGAGGTGCCTGGAAATGATTTTACCTTGAAAATGCATTGTGACGTCTAGACATGTGTTTGCTATTCTAGTCTATCCCTTATACTATGTATTCTCTTTCTCTCCTCTATACTATGTATTCTCTCTCTCCTCTATCCCTTATACTATGTATTCTCTATCTCTCCTCTATACTATGTATTCTCTCTCTCCTCTATCCCTTATACTATGTATTCTCTATCTCTCCTCTATACTATGTATTCTCTATCTCTCCTCTATACTATGTATTCTCTCTCTCCTCTATCCCTTATACTATGTATTCTCTATCTCTCCTCTATCCCTTATACTATGTATTCTCTATCTCTCCTCTATACTATGTATTCTCTCTCTCCTCTATCCCTTATACTATGTATTCTCTATCTCTCCTCTATACTATGTATTCTCTCTCTCTCCTCTATACTATGTATTCTCTCTCTCCTCTATCTCTCCTCTATACTATGTATTCTCTCTCTCCTCTATCCCTTATACTATGTATTCTCTCTCTCCTCTATCCCTTATACTATGTATTCTCTATCTCTCCTTTATCCCCCATTTGATTCAGACGGCTATTCTCTTCTCACTATGCGAAGTACTATTACTATGAGTATTATTCTAAGACTGATACGAGTATTCATTGGCGTATTATAATTGGTATCTGTGATTACAAAGTTCTACTAAGTTGGAATAGATACAGTATCATACTAGTATACGTTGTCATCATAACAGTGGAACAATGAGTCGTTTTTGAAAGCACAACATGAATTGACCTATATCTGGATGGAGAAGAGGTGGGTATGTGCATGTAAGTGAATATGAAAAACCTGACTTGGATTGGAACTCAGCTGTTTGATTTCAAATTTTGATCTATTATCCATTACACCACCCACATGTCCAAGCTTACAGCATCTGATATTCCCATGCAGTCACCCATGTAGTTACTGACCAGGCTCGGCATTACTTAACTTTGGTGATCATACAAGAACTGGTGTTTCAAATTGATATGGCAATATATAGAAGAATAATGTCCTGTATTTTAGAAAATATTTTTTTAGATTTCAAACAAAAGACTTCACATAAAAGTATCACTATTCATGTGTGTATGGTTAGTGGAAAAGAAAATCATATTTGTCTTTCAAATAAAGTAAAAACCTGAAAAACTTATTGCAAGATTAAATTTCTAAACTGGAGTCAGTGATGCTTAATCTGAATAAAGTCAATAATTGGTGAAGAAGCAAAAAAAGACAATGAAAGACACTCAATCATAACTAAAAAATCATGTTTGTAGTTTCAGTCTTAACTAATGCTTTTATATATCAGAGTGACTTAATGTAAAAACTTGATAATGGAAGTGACTACAAAAGTAAAAAAAAGTAGATCAGAAAAGAGCAAAAAAAAAGTAGATCAGAAAAGAGCAAAAAAAAAGCATATTATGGTTTTTCTAATATTTAAATATCTGAAGAAGAAATATCCAATACTTTACCTTCCATTTCCCAAACTAATGAACAGACTGAGAGTTTGTTTAAGAACAAAATAAAATATGCAAGATTAAAAATTAAAAAAAAAACAACATAGAAGTGTTTAATTTTAATACATTATCTCCAGCTGAATTTTTTTTCTTAAAATATATTGGGAAGTTGAACTGGTGCAAAGATACCTGTGGAAGATGAAAAGTTTTATTGCCAATGTTATGAAATAAACTTTGGTTAGTCTACAGATTTCTAAAAAATCTTTTCTAAAATACAAGACATTATTCTTAATTATATTCACTCTCTCTCTCTCTTTTGAGAGCAGATTTAAACCCAGATCATGCTGAAATATTGGTTATGATCACCAAAGTCAAGATGAGTTAGTACCTAGACAAGGAATATCAGGTTCTGCAAGAATTTGAACTCTGCACCTTGACTACACTTTTTGCACTGATAACAATGACACAACATAAATCTGATTTTGTGAGGACACACTCTCATGGTCTTTTTAAAATAAAATTTCCATTCATTGCGAAAACTGTGCATTTGAAATATTTTTATTTATACAATATTTTACAAATATAATGTGTAAATAAATATATATAAGGTGCATTTCAGTAAAAAGATTTTTTTCAGATATGTTTGGTTGAATAATATTGACAAGTTCTGTCTATCCAATTTTTATTAACATTTTCAATTTTCTGAATTAGCTGTTAGATATAATTAGTAAATTTACCAAAGTTCATATTTATTTATATTTTTTCTCAAGTACTTTTCAATGTTGCTACATTCATTTTCAAGGATATTGCTTTGTCTATGTATAACTGTTTTCGGTTAAGTCCAGTGTTCACCTGTTTGCTGGAACCAAAGTCACTCAAGGTGACATGTTTTTTTAAATCTGTATTAAAAAAATAAAAAAAAAATTGACCAACATCAAGCATGGTCAGTACTTAGATTGTTGATCACTTTGGAATACCAGGTGCTGTAGGCTTAGATGTGCGGGTGGTGTAAGGGATAATAGCTCTGAATTGGAATTTGGAGAGCCAAGTTCCAATTTCAGTTGGGTTTGTTATATTTATTTACAGGCAAATACCCTTTAAAGAGGTATGGGTTAATCAGTAGGACTTGTATCAGTACAATCATCATTATTATCTCTAAAAATATTTTCTGGCTTTAAATAAACTGTAAAAGGTTGATAAGCCATAAAAAATAACAACTCAATCAAATCAATTTTCTGAGAGCAAAGTAGCTGTGTCTTTTCAAGGTGGACATGTATTATTGGACAGATATTAATGAAGAAAAAGATAGAGAGAATATCATGTCTTCAAAAATGCCTATAACAAAAAGATATTCAAGGAGAAAAATCAATAATTTTACTGCCTTTCATTCTAGAAAATGTGATGAACCATCTAATATTTGAAAATGTAAACTTGAGCCACTGGAGTAAATGAGATATCAGTTGAAAAGCCAAGTTGGTTTGTCAATTAAATAAATAAATGTATATCTTGAAGAATGTGTCAGGAAAGAAAGGTCAATAAGCACACATTCACCTAACATTTTGAGAAAATGTTGAATCACTCTTCACAGGACAGAATACTCATGAAGTTGGAATAAAGTAACACATATAAGATGAATAATTTTTTTTTTTTTTATAAAATTGCTCTATAATAATTAATTTGACAAGACAAAATAACAGATTATATCTTGTGTTAATTACATTTTAGGGTCTTGTTCTGCACATTACTTCATTTTTTCTCTCAGTATATTTGTCAACAAGACAAGCAGCAGATCTTACGATAATTAATAGTTTAATTTCTTGCGCAAATAATTAGGTTTACAATGTTTTGCTTTCATTCACAAGATTTATATATAACTAGGGCAACATGAAATTCACAGTTACAAAATAGGAATATGAAAATGCATAAACAGTGTATATATATATATATATATAAAATGTGTGTGTATTTATATCAACAATCTGAACAAAGCCACCACACTCAAACCGTCAGTTATGATGACTTGTGACTTTGTGCTAGCAAACTATCAATGGCCCCCAAGGATTCCATCTACCCAATTTTGACTCACAAAGTCAACTTGTGGTATTGTTTTCAGGCAAAGGTGCCACACACTGGGATTTCCCCCTCCAGACTGATAATATCAGGAAGACTCTTTTGTGACACATCAACCATAGTGAGATTCAAACCCAGGTCTCATGGTCATATATATATATATATATATATATATATATATATATATATATATATATATATATATTCAAACATGTTTGCTGAATAATCTAGACATGTCTATTTATTTTTATTGTGATTCTTTTCAATTCTCTTATCAACATCTTAATTCATTAAGGAAGGCACCATAGATTTTTTTTGTTCCATTTTTATTTTCCTATGTACTTTCAATTTCATCCAAGATCATCATCTTCAAGGGTGAAATGCTAAGAGAAAAAATTAATGTAATTGATAGTTGTGATTTTTTTGTAAACATGCATGAAACAAAAAAAAAATCAACATTAAGAAATTGATAAAAGAATTCAAGAGGATCACAATAAAGAATAAATAGACATATGCCAAGATTATTCAACCAAACATGCTTGAATGAAGATATGCTGCATAAATTATATATAAATTTTTATATATCGAAAACAATTTTAAGGTAAACTATGACAAAGTGGAAAAAGTTCTAATGCGACTTGTTTTGTCCTTCCGAACTAAAGTAATGCAGTCACATCAACATAAACATCACTTTAGTCTGATGAAGCCAAAATGACCTAAAAAGGATACAAAATGAGGTGCTTAAAAATGTATAATTATATTGGTTAAAATTTAGTGCAATTATTGGTCAAGAGTGGTCAATATCAAAGACAGAGAATTTGTAGTCATCATCGTGTTTGATGATCACTAGAGACATCAAACTGGCTGTGACCATGCAAGCATTCATTCTGATGTCCACAAATGTGTGTGTGTGTGTGTGTGTGTGTATATACACATGTGTGTGTGCATATGTACCTTCAATACCTCCTTTGTTCAACTGATTTGAGGTCCTGACCTCCTCAACTGATAAGGAAATTGCTCAAAAATTCTCTTCCAACTCAATGCTCGATTCATCTGGTGTACTCACACCCAATTTCTCTACTAGAACTGAGGCTCCATTGAGTGAGTTGCACATAACCCCATAGTTGGTATTGGACATCATCTCAAAATTAGACTCCCATAAAGCTAGCGGTGGCAATGGGATACCAGCCATTGTGCACCTGAACTGGCTCCTGCCCTCTCCAAATTATATAACAACTGCCTTAATGAATCTTGCTTTCCAGCCTGTTGGAAGTCCTCCTCTATTGTACCTGTCTTTAACAATTGTGGAGACCCTTCTGACTCATCTAACTATGGTCCTATCAGTCTATTACCACTATTTGGCAAAGTCTTTAAAGCTTTAATCAATGACGAAGTAGTTAATCACCGTATATCCCATGATCTGCTCTCTGATAAGCAATATGGTTTTCACTTTGCCCGTTCTACATCTGATGTGCTCCCAGCCATAACTGAAATTGTTTACCAAGCACTCTACAATAACAGAGAAGCTCATGCTATGGCACTAGATATCTCTAAAGCATTTGATAGGGTCTGACATATCGGCCTCCTTTGTAAGATTAAGGGATACAGAATTTCAGGTTGATTATTTGACTTAATACAATCATTCCTCTCAAACAGTGTAATGAAGGTTGTCCTTAATGGATTCTCCTCCAGTTCCTTTCCCATGAATGCAGGTGTTCTCAAAGACTCGATCTAGGCCCTACTCTGTTCCTTATCTTCATTAATGATTCCCCCGATGTCATCAGTTCCCAAGTAGGCATCTATGCTGATGACACAACTATTTACTCCTGCCTCAATAGTGAGTCTGGTATCGCTGACAAAACTAACCTGGCCGTTAGTCTCGAAAAGCACCTCCAATCAGTTGTAGACTGGAGCAGAAATTAGCTGGTTAACTTTAATGCCTCAAAAACAAAACTGCTCTCTATTACGCACCACAGGGAACCATCCCTGTCACCCATTAGAATGTCTGATGCTCAAATCCATGAGAGCAACAGCTTGCAACTGCTCGGTCTCACATTGTCCGTTGACCTGAGATGGAACAATTACATTGAATCAATTGCTTCATCCACTGTAAGGAAAGTTGGCTCCTGTGTCACACCAAAAAATTTTTCTCACTCGAGTACATCCTTCAAATTTATAAATCAACAATTCACCCTTGCATGGAATACAGCTGACAGATATGGTCTGGTGCCCCCGCTGTTCCCCTTAAGGTCCTTGATAAGATCCAAAGATGGATAAGCAATGTGTTTGGTCCTGATCTGGCATTTCATCTTCAGTCACTCTCTCAAAGACATGCCATCACCTCTCTCTGTCTTTTCTACAAATACTTTCACGGTAACTGCTCTGACAAGCTACTTTTGCTAGTTCCCAGAATGCATGAATTTAAGTGTGCTACTAGGCTGGCATCATGGTCCCACCCTTTTACTGTCAA